GCAGCTGTGCAGTCAGAAAAGTGGGCCTCCACGTTTGGCTGGGATCAAGTCCCGTACTGAAAGGCAGCTGAGCTGTCCTGAATGAACACCCTGAGATGAAATCCCAGCTCGTGTTGCAGCGCAGAGCTCCGTGCGAACCCCTGCTGCTGCACTTCCTCTCCAGAGCTGTCTCCGAGCGGGATATGTCATGCCTTCACTCTCCGCTGGCCCTCTGTCATCCTGTTTCGTTTCAGGCAGCGACCAAATATAGAAACAGCTGTTCCCCTGACACTCCCAAAATAGTCTCACAGCTGGTGCAGAGCCATAAAAACGTTTATAGTAAGATCTTCATTGCAAATACTAGATTTCCTTTTAGGGAGCAGAAACAAAACTGTGCACCCACTAGCCTGGCTCCTGGACCCTGTTTAAGCTGAAACCACAGTAGGATTTCCTGCCTGCTGATCTGACATCAACACTGTAGAATGGATCTGTTCACCATAAAAGCTGACAGAATACAAATGGCCTAGTTTTTCCAAAAGACATTAAGCGACAAGAGAGATTTTTTTTTCCCCTTTCAGATATGCTTGATCGAATCCCTTCCTAATTTGAAACACCTCCACGAGATCTGCTCCAGGCATTCTCTTTTCCAGGGGCCTAATTGGCCTAACCTCGTTAACCTAGTTTGAAATAGTGAAATGTCTGAAGCTCGTGTGGGTTATTAGACTGCAGGGAAAGCACAGAAGCGCAGCTGGAAGCTCTTCAGATTCAAGCAAGGAAACCGGCATTTCCTCAGAAATTCCTATATGGAAACTTTGCTTCAGAGTAGGATACTGTTCCATGAGCTATAACAAGTGGCTATACGCATAGCTGCGTATACAGATACGATTTAGCATATCTGTTTCAGATAGATTGTCAATATCGCTCTGTTACCACCTTGTTTAGTTTATTATGGCCAGCAGCCATATCACCCTGTAACTCACAGCTGGCAGGCCCAATGAAGCTCAGCAGGTGTGAGCCTGGTCAGTACCTGGATGGGAGACCTCCTGGAAAAGCTGAGGCAGCTACTGGAAGAGGTGTTAGTGGGGCCAGCAGGGGGTGCTCACCCT